TCAAAACAAATATCAATTTCTTCAGGCATAAAAATTACACCTTATTTTAGACTATTAGGCAACAATCACTAATAAAAAAAATTAAAAAAATCAAACACACAAACAAAAGGGTCAATCTTTAACCACCAAAATCGTGCCATCTCATAATTACGAGTCTACATCAATTTATTAAGTTAAGCTAAGAGAGGAGCGAGGAGAGAGGAGCCTTACCATCCTTCAAGGCAACCGGCACTTTCTTGCCTATGAGGGGGCTGCTGAGCATACTGGGGAGCATAGCCTTGCTGTGGGTACCCTTGTTGTGGGTAACCCTGTGGAGGAGGGTACCCCTGCTCAGGGTAACCCTGTGAAGGGTACCCTGCTGGAGGGTAAGCATCCTTTGGAGGATACCCTGTTTGATGATCAATAGTTGTTAGTATTATTATGAAAGAACCAAAACAAAAAACTGATCACTGAAAAACAAAAGTGAAGAAACCAAAACCAAAATCAAATGATCCCAAAGGAAAAAACAACATGCAGCTTGATACAGACCTTGTGGAGGAGGAACACCAACTGGAGCCTGCTGCTGATTGTAGTAACTCATCTTCTCTGAATCTCTCTCTGTATTTCTCTGTTGAGTCAATTTCACAACCAAAAAGACCTGCTTTTTAAGACTTTGAGAACAAATTAGCAACTGGGTTTTGATTGAATTTTGAAAAAGTTGAGAGATTTAAGAGATTTTATAAGGCTTTTGAGAGTCGGCTAAAGCTTGAGGACTGAACCTGAAACCAAGTTTCCTCCGAAAACCAATAAGCTCAAGAAACGGATTCTTTAGAGGCGGTGAGGGACGCGGTTTCCACGCTGCTTTAACAGCACACAAAAGGCGAAGAGAAAGGTAAAGTTTCCAGAAGTATAAATACTGCGAATTTACGTAGTGGTTCGATTCGAAAGAATGTTTTCTTTTCTTTTTCCAAATATTTACCGTCGTTCTACTAATTTCTATAACAAATAAATAGATAAATAAACCTAACAACAACAACAACTCGACTGAGTCCTTTACACTGGTTGTATCAGAAAAATTAGGGGTTTCTTGTTATAAGATAAAAGATTCTTCTTTGGTGTTAATCTATACAAAAATGGTAAATTTTTTTAAGAGATATTTAGTCAAGGGGCCTTCTCCAATGCGAACTCTAAGATGCGAACTCGTTGCGAACTTTTATTTTTAACCGTTGGATGGCTTGTGTGGATTTATTTTCTTTCTTTTCGCTCTTCTTCCAACGGTTAAAAACAAAAGTTCGCAACGAGTTCGCATCTTAGAGTTCACATTGGAGAAGCCCCCTTTAGTCAAATACCAATAAATATAAATAAATTCTACACCATTTAAAATCTATAAACAAACCCAAAAATAATAGCTGGCTCTATTGAATTTAATTTTGATTATTCAATTACTTTGATGCCCTATTGAGTGTTTTGGATTTTTTATGAGCTTTTGGGGTTGGGCAAGTTTTAAGAAATCGATAGCAGTTTTGTAATTAATAAGAAGTTAAAAACCTCTTTGTTATGTTGTAAATGGGCTTTTGGTGTGTTTCTAAAGTCCATTTCATATATGGTATTTTTATAATTTGGGCCCCTATATTTGATATAATAATGAATCTCTCTTTTTTTAATGAAGAAAATAATGGAAGATAAGAACTAGCAATGCGTTTGGATGAAGGAATTGAAAATTGTATAGAATTCTTAAATTACGGAATTTGGATCTCCATCGTTTAAATTTCTGACAACTAATAATTTAAAGTGTTTGGTTTTATTATGTATGTCAAATTTTGTAAATGAAAAAAAATTACGGGAAAAAACGAATTCTCGCTCAATATAAATTGCCAAATGATGTCTTTTTTGGCTGAAATTAAACTCAGAAATCTTGATTCCCAAATTCCACGATTTTTTGCGCTAGTCATTTAATAAGTTTTATGCTTAAGTTGCCAAACAACGGAAATATCAATTTCTCTTTTTCAATTTCTAACTTTTAGCTAAATTCCAAATTATTTTCCTCCATCTAAACAAAGAGTAGGAGAATATTGATGAAAACAAATAGAATAGCTTCGGTCATAAAGGATAAAAACTTCTATATTGTGGGAATATACCTATTTTGTTATTTCCAACGTTTCATTATATATGTGATAATTTTCCCCCATAGCGGGAATGTAATTGGTCAGAATAACAAAACAATGATATTCCCATTAGATACAAATTCTTTGCATGATATTCTCATTATATACAAATTCTTTGCATTTATCTCACATTCAAGTAACTCAATTTCAAAAGTCAATTGTGGTCTCTATCATGGACTTAAGATTTTATGCTCTGATTTTCTCTACCATGATTTGCTTGATTTTTGTCTTCCACACGCACCTCATTAACATTTAATCTAAAGGACTTAAAAGTTGAGACATTATTCTTCAAACAAAAAATTACACCTAATTAAAAAAAAGAATAACAATACTCTAACCCAACTAACATCAAACTTAACATCGTCTCCCCTTTTTTTCCTACCTTCTTACTTTAGCACTTCTTCTTCCTGCCTCTGCCCCCAAAATCTTATCTCTCACCAAGCTTTCGTTTCTCCAAAATTTTTGTAATCACAATCCCTTCTCTTTCCTCTATCCAAAAAATAAAAAATAAAAAATAAAAATCTTTCCATATCCATTGATTTGAGAAAATAACCATAACTTATCAATCAATAGACCTTACAAAACAATCCCAATATCCAGGTCTTGAAAGGTAATTTTTTTTTAATCCAAGAAAACAACGAAGGATTTTTTTTTTTCTTCAACCAGCCTGGTCACATCAAAGGATATGGGGAAATAAGTTTGCTTTTTGTTCTTTTGATAGATGGGAACATGACCTGCAATGGAATTTCCACGGATATCTACGTAAGATGCCATCTTACCACGCCTTTAAGCAGGACGAAGAAGAAAAAAGAAAACGAGGACTTCTACATACAAAAAGAAAGAAAAAAATATATATAATTTACATAAAATAGTTGAGAGATTTTTTCTTTATGGATCCATCTTGTTCATATTGGTCATTTCATTGGAGGAGCTCCTTCATATTTGTCAACTCTGATGACACACTTGAGCATACCTGGTGGCATCGAGTTCAATATTAATAAGGATTAATTGTCGATTTACCCCTGAATTTGTATTCTACTTTTAATTTGCACCCTCAATTTTGTTTTGGAAAATTAGGTACATAAACTATTTTTTATTGCCAATTTCTCCCGTACTGTCTAAATCAACACATTTCATCCAATTTGTCGTTAAATATGAGGGCAAATTGATCATTTTATTTATTAAAAAAATAAAAAATAAAAAATAAATGAAAAAAATCATTTTTTAAAAACAGAGGGGCCCGCCCACTTCATCTCTGCCTTCCCCTCTGTTGTAATTCAAAAAACAGAGGGGAGGGGGGAG